TGAAATTCTCAGTTGAAGTGACATTTTTAAGGAAATTTCGAGAGCCTTTTAGCATAGGAGAATCTAGTCCGACTGAATGTAATCAGAAGAAAGAGTTATGCAATATGATTGAACTTGAATGAGCAAGGATTGTTTCTCAGGTATTTGATGCATCGAAAATAAGTCTGGTTTTTACCATTTCCTAGTCCCTTGTTGATTTACTTGTTGCATCTGTTAAATAAGTTTCAAAATTTAAAAAATGTACATATAAATCTGTGACTTGGATTCTATCAAAGTTTGTATAGTTCTTGATGACCAAGATTATATACTCAATTTCTTTGTTAATTTGAATTACAAAATTATATTAAATTTTTCTCTATTTCCCACTTTAATTATGGAACGTTATCAAAATATACGTAGAGAACGATTGTAATAAAATAACTCTTACTTTAATTTTTTCGTCACTTTTTGAAAGTTTGATTGTGTCCCCCCAACATAAAAAGTCTGCGTCCGCCCCTGGTCCGTTGCATCTCATGTCCCAACTGATGTAGTGAACTTCGACGAAGGCGTGAACGAATTGCATGACATAGATGAAGTAGATTTTGCCAAACTGAGAGTTGCAAGGGCAAAAAAAGACAATGTGCGAAGCTGTCAACATCAACACGAGATCCAAATATGGGGACAGACACACAGGCAGATACAATGAATTAAGATCCACTTCATTTTGTTGTAAATGGTTTTTTTTTGTAAATGATGCTGCGAATTATGTGAATTAATACCTGCAGCAATTTACTTTTGTTGTTTGTATCTATTCGGTATTATCTGTTGCAGCTTCATTTCAAGTTTGGCAGTTGTAGTTAAAGGTAACTGTATGCGCTTATTTTGTTCATTTGGGACGAAGAAAAGCTTGTAGTTATGTACAATCCCACTGCAATTTGTGTATATACATTCATGTCCGCTCTGAGTAAGCACTACCTTGTATTTTCTTTATGCTTAACAGCTTAAGTGATTATGGTAATGAAAAAGAAGTATTGTGTTACTATTTTCTAGGATATGGTAGATTTTTACTTTCGTCTTCGTTGCAGATGTGATTTCTTCAACTATGGGAGGAAAATAGTTTGCTTAAGATGTGACTACAGACATTACTTATCTGTGCGGAATGATATTTCACATCCAAAACCAACACAGATAGCCTGTTGGCTGAGAATGAAGAGATAGCACAATGGTGGTTTAGTAAAAATTCTCAAGATAAGTAACGTCTGTGATGGAGAAAATCTATCTGTTTAGTACTAGTTCTACTGTTGGCAGCGAGTCCTAGCACTTAGGGGTTGATTTTTTCAGAATTGCAAGCTGAACATTCATTAATTTCGTTTAGGGTCCGTTTGATTACAAGGGTGGAAAATGGGTGGAAAGAAAATGTTTTACAGGGAAAAGATTTGCCTAGAAAATGTTTTGCAGGGAAAATGATTTCAAGTGTGTTTTATTGGTATAATTTTTCACCCGGAAAATTTTTAAATAAGAAATTTTGAAATTTTGTTCGTAGCACAGAATTTGGGTCAAGGTGGAGATTGTTGGGATTGTGCCCCAAATTGGCTTACCATATGTGAAGAAAAACGTGTGGAATTAAACTTGGAAAGGAAAAAAATTTGGAACTATGGCAAGAATTCCCCCTGAGTCTACACTCCGTCTCTTTATCTTTTTGTTGCTCTCAGACTCTGGAGTTGCTCACTTCTCTGTAAACTCAAAACCCATATTCAGTTTTATCTCTTGTTCTCAACTTAGTATATGTTTGGCCTCCATTTTTTCAAAATTCATTTTCAACATCACATTCTTCCATAAAATAATGTTACAAGTAAATAGAAATTTTTTCTTTATTTTTTATCCACACATTCTCAGAAAAAGATAACTATTTTAAAACACATTTTTCCCAAATTTTCATTAAAATGGAGTCCAAACCAAGGCCTCTCTCTCTCTCTCTCTCAATTTTTGATTTAGGGTTGAAATTTGACGCTTTGTTCTGAGTTTTTCGTTTTTTGTTTTTCCAGGTGAGCTTGAATCAATGAAGGTGACGTTTTTTTCTACACTTCCTTTGCATCCTCCTTTTTCGGGTAAATTTTTTGGCTGGAAAAGGAAATGAAATTCCAAGTTCCAAGGAAAATAAAGCAAATCAAACATGGCCTTAATTCCATTACTGCACGCTGAACATACAACAAAATATCCATTACAATTAAATTTTTTAAACGAATAACATAAGCGGTTCAATTTCAAGGAGATCCTCCCTTTCGTCTCTCGGTCTCTTTATCTCGTTTTTCCTTGCGGAGATCTCCACGTCATTTCCTTCAGTTATTTTAGCAACATCCTTCAATATTCTTGACAGAACTTGAATTGCTGATATATTGCTTGACCCTCCTCAAATTGGACATGTTCTTCATGGTAAATAACATCGCTCCACTTGAAACACCGACAATCGTTAGTACAAGTTTAAAACAGTATAATTGCCAACCTATGTTTTCAATCTTCTTTTCAACCTCCATCATTTCACAAATCTCTTGCCACATGTTAGGCATCGTTTCTTAGTTGGGCATTCCAATAGGTAGTGGCTCGGCTTCCTACTTTCAATTTTGGGGGTTAGAGTTCTTGAGGTGAATTTGGGCACCATGAGATAGAACAATTGATTTAATGGTTTGGGGTTTGTTTTAATTCCAAGTCGTGTATTGATCGAAGTCGTGCATTTTCCCGTCATCCAAATAGGCACATCTATTAACGGATTTCAACGGGTGAGTGATGGAGTTTGACGGAGCAAAGTTCAATGGTCAATGGGACGATTAATGAAGTTTGACGAGTAAACTGTGATATGATGTAAAGTTTAGTGATCAATGAAACATTGAACTTTAATTTACATATGACTAACATTTTTAAGGTTCAAATTTTGACTCATCCAAATTTGCATACGGGTATTTGATGACATACGGATGAAAAGGATTTGTCCATTCGACTATCAAATACTGATATATATAATATACATATAATTCACTCTTCAAAAGTAAATTTGTTACATATCCTTATTTGGTGATGTATATGTATTTGGTGAGAGACACTTAAAAGAATGTAAGAACGCTCAAATGCTCTATTATCTGCAGTTATAACACATTAAGATCCTTATTTGGTGATGTATATGTATTTGGTGAGTGACACTTATAAGAATTTAACACTCATATGCTCTTTTATCTGCAGTAATAACACATTAAGAAACATTGCACATGTTATAGCCATGGAAAAAAGACTATCATCACTTCATCAAGCACTTGAGTGCATATGAATATTTATATACACACCCAAAACAGAGCCAAGCATCTAAATCTAGGTCAATAAAAAGAACTTAAAATCAATCATGATCATTCATTGTATATAAAATATTATGTATGTAATGGAGATCTCCAATCAAGATTTTCTTGAGGATAGTCTTTTTGCACTTCTTCTGGAGGAATAAAGGAGTCAATAGAAAGGCCAGGGACATTAACTGCTAAATCATCAATTGTATACGTCTCCTCCATCCGTGTTATCGCAGGCCCTGCTTTCGAATTGTCTCCGAATTGTGTGATGATAACATTGGATTGACCTGAATGAGCGATCATCATGCCCTCTACAATCCGATAGTCCTCGACTTTTGTACCCATTGATGTTTCCCAGTACGTGGGGCGAGAACCAGGTGACTGAATTCTGGTTAAGTAAGAGTCTTCTAAATACACCAGCAATCCACTTCTTTGACTGAAGTAACCAAACAAAACGTGCTTGATCATCTCTGCTGTGTTGTCACTGCGTTCCAATAGGTCCGTATGATCAGCTGATAATTTTAACACGAAGCAATCGAGGCCGGATATTCGCTTTTCTCCCATGTATTGTGCTGTAGAGAATACAGCTGATATAGTCACAGGATCTAATCCCTACAAATTTAGGTGATTATAAGGCCATGAAATAAGATACAATTCAAAAAAATCAGTTCAAAAATTGCACCTTTATTGTAAAGCATAGTGCCAACTGATTCAAGTTTTCTAAGGTTCAGAATTTAGAACATAAGTTCCCTTAGAAATAAAGATATCGGATAAAATTGTCTTGTAGCAATCATACAGCTAAAGAAATGTGCAATTTTAGAAGGACTTCTAGAATAGACTTTGCCTATTTACCGGAAAGAATTACATTGTTTACAAGTTAATAGAGGTTGGTCATTCATACCAGCAATAAAAATGATGTATAGTCTCCTTGAAAAGAGAATGACAAGGAAAATACTGCTAGAAAAAGATATAATTCTGTCACTGATTTCGAACATCCGGGGAATTAAACTCGGGGACTCATTCAATCAATTACTTGCCTGAATTGCCCGTCGAAGAGGGCGGACACCGCCTTTAGCTGCATGAGCACCTAGCCAAGGAGTGTGCCTCCAAGCCACATTGCCATCACTACCTGCAGCAACTTTATGACCACCCACAACTAGTTCAATTAACCACTTATTAGGTACCATTTGCCACATCACAAAGCAACCATTCTGTGACATGCCATTAGGTCTACCGGGCTTGCTGGTCGACCCGAGCTCGTCCACCATCACCATCGTAACTTTTCCGGTAGCGTACATGTTCTTTATGACTCCCTCTAGCTTCCGGCAGCCGGTTGCAGCTGTAAAGTGTTGTATTATGTATTGTGCAGAAGAAGATACCTGAGTAAGAGAGACATTCAAATAATCTATATTCAAGGTGCGGTAATTACTAAAATTAAGGTTTGTATATTACATTTTATGGTGAAAACTCACACGTGCCTCTACAGTGTCCAGACCCAACATCCCAGTTTTGTAGTTTAAAACATAGGTCTCAGTTTCAACATTTTTTTTTCTAAGGTAGTTCATGGTGTTTATTTGTACAAGTATAATTCACGATGGAAACCATACATATAATATGCTTTTATATTGAGATAGTGAAATCACATAACCAAGAAATAAAAGCAAACATAAATATCACAATAAATGCTGAACAACATGGTTTTGAAAAGTAAAAGTAAGCCTAAAAAAACAGCACAAGTTGTATACTTCTGTAAGGAAACTTATGCGGGTATAACTACAGATCCTTGAAAATGCAAAATTTAAAAAAGGGCAAAAACCTCAGATTCTGATCTGAAAAAACCCATCTGGGCTTCGGTTCTTGAATTGATGTGTTAGAAGATAAGTTGAGAGAGAAAAATCACTTACTTCAGTACAGGGTTGTTTTGGATGAACAGAAACAGGAAAAAGTGGGCAACCCATAACACTTAAAAGAATCTTGAGGTCAGATTTCTTGTTGAAGAGAAGAGGGAAGTGGTTCTTGAGCCAGTTTCGCCATGTTTGTGCCTTCTTTGACCAATTTGTAGCTGAATCTTCTTCGTTCAAGGGCTCTTCTGATAATGGTGCAAGACGATTCATCTTCTAATCTGCTTTTTTCCTTTCTATGATCAATGGAGCAAAGATGGGGAGGGAGACTTTATACTGAATGCTAGTAGAGAGAAAAGACAGTTTGAGTTCTTAAAGTTGAGCACCTGAGGTTTACTTACTTTGTGCACGTGCAATTAATGCGCGTATCCTCCACTTTACTTAATGGAAACTAAGCCACAATTTGTCTACCATTTTTCCAAAAAATTGTTTGTTACAGTAAAATTCTCCACCACACATTCACCCCATAAAATATTCTACACACAAACCAATAAAGTTATTTTAAATTTCAACCACACATTCTCCAAAAAATACTATCCATTACTCTATTTTTCTTCCAATAATGGGATAGAAACACACCCTAAATTTATTAAGAGCTAATTTCACAAATGGTCACCGAACTTACCTTAAAATTACGAAACAGTCACTGAAATTTAAAACTTGCAGAAACGGTCATTGAAATTTCATGCACTCTCACAAACGGTCACTGAAAGACCGTTATGATTTTAATTCAAACTTAAAGGACCAAAACACGTGAACATAGAACATTGAGAACCTCAAGTGCAAAAAAAAACTCAAACCCCGCAAAACCTAAAAAAATCGTCACATTCCCTCATTCGATCAATCTCCTCCAAATTTGTGATCATTCGTTTGAAATTGGCCAAGACCCATATGTTCGGTGGATGCGCCATGGTGGGTCGGTGCTAGGGGTGGTGGTCCTCCATCGTGAGTTGCAACATCGTTACCGAAATTCGTGGTTGAAGGGGCCGACTGCGTTGTGGAAAAAAAATTCTGCATCTTTGGATTTTCTGATTTGTATTTGTTTGATGTTATGAGGGCATCTGTAGGTGTGTAATAAGGAGATTGATTGACCTGTGGGGTGGGTACAACATGGGTGTCACCAGAAGTTGATTTCATCTAGTTTTGGTTCAAATTTTCGGTCAGATCTATCGGGGTTGAGGATGGTGGTTGGGTGGGTTTTGAAAGGGGCAATGAGGGCTTCAAGGTGGTATGTTGGTCTGGCGACCGAGGTGATCGAAGGTTGGGTTTTTGGTTGTCCATAGTTGGTGATCGAAGTTGACAAAGTGTTTTGGTCCCCACTTTTGTGTGATTTTCCGGCCAATTCCGACGGGGTCAAGGTCGATGGTTGGGTAGGTTGTGAAGAAGGCATTGAGGGCTTCAAGACGGTATGTTGGTCCCATGGACAAGGTTACCGGATGTTGGAGTTATGATGGTCCAAAGGTGGCAAGTTGAGAGAATTTGGAGGAGGGAATGGTTTTGGGTTTTAGATGAAATTTGCACTTGAGATCCTCACGATTTTATATTCACGTATTTTGGTCCTTTAAGTTTGAATTAAAATCATAACGGTCATTTAGTGATCATTTGTGAAAGAAATTAAAACTTCAATGACCGTTTGTGAAAGCACCTGAAATTTCAGTGACCGTTTCTACAAGTTTTAAACTTTAGTGACCGTTTTGTAATTTTGAGATAAGTTCAATGACCATTTGTGAAATTAACCCTATTTATTAATATAGTTTATTAATTACTAAATTTCATGGTTTTGGAAAGTGTGATCAAAGACGTCTGGTTTGTCTCATGGATCTCAAAGAGATCATGAAGTCATGGTACGTGTGTGTATACGTACGTATATGGATCTCCGTGCATTAGTATATTCTTTTCCCGGATCATCATTCTTTCAAAATTCTTTAATTATCTCGTTTTCAATCGCGTATTTGCACAATAAAATATTTTATACGTAAACTCAAAAATTTTCTCCATTTTTTAACAATACATTCTCCAAAAAATTATTATTCAAAACTCAATTTTTTCAAAATAATGACCATCAAATAAGGGCTAAACTATGAAATATTGTATTTTCAGTGTGTATTATGATGTGTGTGTTGCTTATTTTGATCAAAAATCTTAATGCCCCTATTTGGTAGAAATTGATTTTAATTTCGATCAAATTCAATAGTTAATTTTAATCACATATTTTATGAGATTCACAACTTTTAAATCATACATTTCATCAACTTTTATTAAAATTTACTAAAAATCTAATTTTAATCTCCATCAAACTAGCGTTATATGTATTATCGATTTAAACTTCTTCAAATTGATAGAAAGAGCTCATCGAGATCTTCGTTGCAAAATTGAAAGATAACAGTTAAAATGTCAGTAATTAAGGGCAGTTTTTCAACTTTTAGTTTTTAGTTAATTTTCAATTTACTGTTTTGAGTATATGTTTTAAGATTGCTAAAAAACGAGTTTAATTTGTCATTTTGAAAAATTATTTCTCAAAATAGAAAATTAGAAAACACGTTTGGTTTGAGAATTTGAAAAAAACATTTTATAACATTTTATTCAATAAATATAGAATAATTTTTATCCATTTTTATTTAAATATATTTTTTAGAATTTTTATGTAAAATAATCTTTAAGAGATTGAACTATTTTTATTTTTTATTCTTTTATTTTCCTACAATTTTTTTAAAATTTTTATTTTTTAGAATTTTATTTTTTCAAAATTTTTATTTTTATTTAGAATTTATCAATTTTATTTTTTCAATCTATTTTCTTGAATTTTATTTTTTAAATATTTAAATATTTTATTTGTTGGAAATTTCTATTTTTATTTGTTAAAATTTTATTTAAACGCTTGTTTTCCAAAATTTGAGTGTCTTTAAAATTTTCACTGAAAACACTTAAAACGTCAAAATTGCATTTTTAATTTTATGCTATAAGTTTTTTCCTTATTTTCGAAAATACATTTTTCAGAAATATCACACCAAATACGATTTCAGTGTATTTGCGAAATTGAAAACCGCTTAAAAACAATAAATCAAACGCTCCCTAAATGTTTATATATATTGAATTAACAACAACACACATAAAAATCGTGAATAGAAGATTTATGTGTCATAAACCTAGAAATTGGGAACTTCAATGCCAATGTACAATTATTTCTTTAGTTAATCTATAATATATTAATTATCGCATCAAATAAGAATTATTTTTTAAACGATTCCAATCATACTATAATTCAATTATTTCAATAAGACCTTACTTTTCATTTTTCCATTTGTATTTAATTTATTTAACCTTTTAATTATCATCAATATACATGTACATATTCTTTTGAACCCCTTAATTAAGTCGAACTGAAATTAGAATGATGATAATAAAAGTTGTTTACGTTAGAAAAAACTATGTGTATTAAGAGAGACTATATTTCACACGTGGTCACTAAAAATTTGAGCGAAATTTAGTTAGGTCATTGAGCTTTAATTTATCTCAATTGGGTCATTGCAATCCAATTTTAAATTTAAATTTCACCACTGAATCACAAGTCATCTTCCAAATTGAGGAAAAAAAATGATTAATTGGCATGTAAATGTATCTCTAAGCCACGTCATAAAGTGTTAAAATCAAGAAATACGCATTTTAACTTTATAATTCAGCGAATATCATTTCAATCTTCACTTTATTATTATTGCTTCTAGGATATTACACAACGGTTACATAATTACATTATGGCTGTCAACTAAGTAGTTTTCCCATGTTTTGTGAACGTAAAAATCTAGATTTTAATTTAAATTAAAGTTAACAATTAATTTTGGCTAAACATTTCATAATTTTTTTTATCAAAATCTACTAAAAATTTGATTTTAATTCCTACCAAACTAATAACTATCATAGCACATTAAAAGGGTAAAATGTGGAAGTATTTAATAGTCGAACCATTTTTTAAAATATAATAAAATGATTTTAAGACATGGCGCGTGGTTCTCTGGGACATTCTATTAAGCCCGTGTTTGACACATTTTTTAAAAATACATTTTTTCAAAATTCATTTTCAACCACACATTTTTCAATAAAATAATATTTTTCATCACATCAACAATTTTTCCTTACTTTTTAATCACATATTTCTCATCATATCACTATTTAAGTCCCTATTTGGTGCACATTTTGAGTCCAAGAATACATTTGTTGTTTGATGTGATGGGGAATATGAGGTTGAAAAATAAAGAAAAGTTATTGATCTGATGAAAAATATTATTGTATTGAAGAATGTATGGTTGAGAATGCGTTAAAGAATGAGAATAAAAAAAATAATGTGGCTCAAACATGGACTAAAATATATTCTTTTTTCAATAATATCCATCAGACCAGTGGCAGATATGGGGGGAGGCTGCACTGGGCTTATGCCCAGTACATCTTGGCCTAGGTTCTATTTTCCCTTGTAACATTTTTTTCTTATAAAATTGTATTTTAGCCTAAATTTAGAATTAGACCACTATCCACCCTCTTTAATATTTGCTCACTTCCAGCTTAATTTCTTAAATGGACCAAATTTTTAAATTTGGCCACTTCCAAATCTTTTGCTCAAAATAATAGAACTTCTTTCAAAATTTAATGTACTAAGTGGAATGCAAAGAAAAAACTTATTTTTGGTAGAGCAGTCCAAAGAAATAAAACCCAAATGAGATTATAGAATTAGATTAATTGATGTTTCAACATCACCACATTAGAAAGTGTATACCTGTTACTAGGCTTTTGAACAAGAAAATTATCTAGTGACACTAACCGTACATATAAAATATGGTGAGGGAAAAAAACCATGAAAAGCTTAAAAGTAATTAAAATTTAAGTTTATGTATTTTTATTTATTAATTAATTATACTTTTAAGTTAAAAAATACTTATTGACCATGAAATTGATGTTATTATTAAAATAGGTAACTTGCTTTATATTTTAACTTTATAAGTAGAAATAAATAATATTTCTTAAAAATTTATTTATTTATAAATGAATATTATTAAAAGTATAATATTGAAGTGAATCAAACATAAATGCGAAATAAATCCGATTTCTGTGGACCCTCGATATTCTTGGTCAGTTTTACCACTTTAGGTGTGATTAAAATGTGTAGATATAAAAGACTTAGCCTATATTCTTAATTTTTTATTGGACAGTATACATCATTCCTT